CACTGGAAGTTGCTACACATAACGAGAGGTGGGCAAAACTGAAAATAGCAATACCGTGCAAACATCATTTTAGTTGTATGCCGTCTTTCCACAGTTAAAACCATTCTCAGGGTGGCTTACAACATGAAAAGACACATGATTCAAGCACAACAAATGTCAAACAATAAATAAAACATCCAAAAAGTACATAACCAAATTGAACAGCTTACACATGAATCCTAATAAAGATACAAAAAAGTAATATCAATAACAGCAATAACCCCCCCCCCAAACAGAATCCCTTAAGCAATACTCCAACCATTCCTTCTGTGATATTGGGATGCACTGCTGTGTTCCATTCACTTTTCCCCAGCCCTGCCTGTGAGTTGCTATAAATAGTGGAGTGGGATCAGGAGATTCTCCCCACCCGCTTCTTACTTGCAGGAGTTCTTAAGCATCCTTTTATTTGGGGCTTGACCCAGTAAGTAATTGGTGGCTGGAGGTCATGCTGCCTGAAAGGCCTTAATCTGCTCCCTTGGTTGGTGTCTGAATCATGGGGGCTGTTCCCTCATCACTTTACTGAAGATCATACTTTGAGTCCCACACATTTGGCAAATACAGAATGACCAGGTAGCATCACATCCCAGGTGTGAAATGGGAGGAGAAAGGGCAAGGTGCCTTCCTCTCATATTATTAACTGCAGCATTGGCAGGCAGAGGACAAAGTGCAAGCTATTGGGCCACACGACATAGTTTATTGTTCTGTTTCATAAGATTTATATAATGCTTGATTGTAGAAAAAACCTCAGTGCTTTATAATTATATATCACTTCCCATTACAAAAAGTCCCAAAGCAATTTTCAAGCAGAGTAAAAATACAAACATGTTAAAAATATAGTTGGAGTACAAACATCCTGTCACTGGTGCTGTCCAAATGCCTGGCAGCACAAGGCAAAGTGTCCTGTAGAAACCTCCCTTGAATCTGAGGTGTTTGCTGAAGAATACAACTTTCTGAGAATCTTACTTCAGGCAAACGTCGAGTGGTTTTCATGAAATCATTCAAGATGATGGCATTTCCTTCTCCGCACTGAAACCTCCTTCAAAAATGGGTGCCCAGGCAGGGAAATCTGGTGTCTATTCCACTCCATTGGCTTCCTCCAAATGACCACCAGGAAATTCCACCTGGTTAACATTTAGTAGGGACGTGGGTGGCACTGTGGGTTAAACCAGAGCCTAGGACTTGCCGATCAGAAGGTTGGGGGTTCGAATCCCCGCGATGGGGTGAGCTCCCGCTGTTCGGTCCCTTCTCCTGGCAACCTAGCAGTTTGAAAGCATGTCAAAGTGCAAGTAGATAAATAGGTACCACTCCGGCGGGAAGGTAAATGGCGTTTCTGTGCACTGCTCTGGTTCGCCAGAAGCGGCTTAGTCATGCTGCCCACATGACCCGGAAGCTGTACACCGGCTCCCTCGGCCAATAAAGCAAGATGAGCACCGCAACCCCAGAGTCAGCCACGACTGGACCTAATGGTCAGGGGTCCCCTTTACCTTTACCTTAACACTTGGTAGTGGGGGGGGCAAATATGTCCCATCCCCAGGTGCTGTCTCTTCCACTCTACAGTGGCTCCCAAGTAGTTGAAAGGGCTGGGTTTCAGCCCAGCCTCTGCGTTCTGCTGGTTCCTGAAGCTGTAAGAGGCTTGATGTACACCCATTTATAGAAATGGCTGCCAGGAGCTTGGCTTTCATTTACAAATAGAACAGAATTCCAGCATTAATTGCTGTTATGCATTTCAGTAAAGTGTTCAGTGCCGGGGAATGTTTGCCAAAACCCTTAGGGGCTCAGAAGGATTTCTGGTGCCCAAGGTTTTAGTGCAGGGATAAGGAACGCTTTTCAGCCTAAGGGCCACTGGGCAACCTTTTGAGGGCCGCATGCTCATGGTGGGTACGGTCAGAGGTAAAAGGGAGCAGGGGAACAATTTGTACAGTAGGCTAGTTTCTACACACACACTCACACACACCCCTCTGTTCTCCACCTGTGCAAGGATGATCAGTGGTCAAGGAACACATTTCAACCAGGCAAAAACACTCAAGGATGTGAAGCAGGGCTGGTAAAGGGGAGTGGCCTAGGGGAGGGGTGTGGCCTTAGGGAGAGTCCCAAGGGCCAGACAGAGAGGCTTGGAGGGCCACATTTGGATCTTGGGCCTGATGCTCCCCATTGTCTTGCATATGTTGCTGCCCCTTTTCATGTCTAGCCAAAGCAGAACAAATTAAGGCAATCTGAGAAAACTTAGTATATGTAAAAGTTATCCAGCTTGCCAGGCTCAGGACTTTTAACTTTTTTAAAGCATGCAGAATATGCACTGCATGGATGATGCATGGGAACGGAACAGGGTACCTGCCATGTGGAAAGCAACAACATGCTTTACATGGTGGAGGGCAAGGTAGAACTGGGGTGGGAGTCACATGTGGCTAATAGACCACCAGTTGACTACGGGTTTAGACTAGTGCCTTTTCTGCAGTGGCTGTCCCCGCCTTCATTATACTCCTTTAGGCTGATTAACATCCAATATCCTTTTAAATGTGTGAGGGTGGAGAGTGTTTTTGTTCTTATTTTTATTACGGATTTTGTGTTTTTTATCTTGTATTTTTATGTTATAAACCACCCTGACATCTATGGGTGAAGGACGGTATACAAAAAAAATAAATAATCAGTCAGTCACACGATCAATTCTCTGCTGCCACTGGCCACCTGATTTTGTTCTGAAAATTAAATCCATGAGATACAAGCCCCATTTCAGAATATGTTCTTTACCAGGGAGAATTGTTGCTGTGCTGACCAAGGAAGGCGTGCTCAAGTCATAGTTTCACTATCACTTCTCCTAGTTACAGACTGTCTCAGACTAGAATGCGTTTGCAAGAAAGTCCTTGTTGTCAGTGGGCATTTTTCTTCGTTGCATGTATTCACAGCTTGTATATTTCCCCTCTTGCAGATAAAGAACAGTTCCCGGCTGCTCTGTAGGCCCATCTCTGCCTCTGTGCTGAACAGGCCTGAGGTCAGGACGAAGGAGGTAAATTTGGTGTGGTACAGCTTCCAGCTACATCCAATGGGAAAGAGACTCTTGGATCTCAAAAACATAATGCTGATGTAACCAGCAAAGGTTGTCTAGGGCAATACTCAGTGGCTGAGTAGAAAAAGGAAATAAGAGGGAGATCCTTTCTAGAACTGCTGGCTCTGCTGGGTCTTTTGGATTATGTGTGCAGCAGCAGTGCTCAACTGTATACCTGACCTACAATTTATTATTTTAGATCTCAGTCACTAGGAGGCATGATACTACAGGCCTGGTGTTTTTTTCTTGGATAATTTTATTGTTTATTTAACATAATTGTTACAAAATATAAGCAAAATGTTACAAATACAGACACATATATATATATTTATTTATTTCAAATAAGCACATACAGTGGTACCTTGGGTTACGTACTTAATTCGTTTCGGAGGTGCGTTCTTAACCTGAAACTGTTCTTAACCTGAAGCACCACTTTAGCTAATGGGGCCTCCTGCTGTCGCCGCGCCGCCGGAGCACGATTTTTGTTCTCATCCTGAAGCAAAGTTCTTAACCTGAAGCACTATTTCTGGGTTAGCAGAGTCTGTAACCTGAAGCGTATGTAACCCGAGGTACCACTGTGTGTCTGTGTGTATGTGTGTATGAAAAAAAGAACAAAAGAGAGAAAAGGCTGTTTTTTTCTTAAGCTGTACAATTAAGGTGTCTGCCTGGTAACTAAGGAACCCTTTTTGATACTCTAGTATTTATCATTCTTCTAGACCACCTTTCCTCTGGGGAGTGCAGGGTGGCTTGTGTTGGACTATCTCATTGTATCCTCACAACCCTAAGTGTAACTTAATTCAAGCTCTTGGGGCTGTAGTGAGAAAGTAAACAGTTGACCAGTTTACAAAATTTCTAAGTTGGTGGGGATCTGCCTCACCTCTTTGTAGCTTCAAGGAACACTTTCCAGATCAACTCCTCATTTATTTATTCCATTTTTATCCTGCTGTGTCCGCTCTCACCCATTACTCCTCCTAAGGTAGATTCGGCTAAGAGATGATGGCTGGCCCAAGCTCACCCGCTAAGCTTCATAGCTGAGCAGGGATTTAAACCCACGTCTCTCTGATCCTAGTCTGACAAGCTAACCACTACATGACATTGGCTTTTTATTTACTTACTTTATTATTATTTAACAGAATTTGTATACCACTAAATTGCAGATTTACAAAGACTATAAAATATATATTAAAACTGTCAGTAAAAGTTAAAAACATTTAAAGCACGCGCACCCACACCCACACACCAAAGAATAGATAAACCCAACATTATAAACTAAAATTGCAGACTTGAGGAGCCTCTTATGCCGGGTGCTGAACTTCAGTATTTCTCTGCATGAACTGTGGGGACTCCATAGCACACACAAATCCCCTGTAGCTGTAGAAAAGATTGATTGACAACGAGGCACCACTTTCCTAGAAGCAGCAGTGCAGATGTGGCTGCATTGCTGACCTAGATTCCCAAAACTATAGGCTGCTCCTGCCCTGGAGTAAGCTACTTTTAACTCAGTAGGACTTGTGTCTACCGAGACAAGTATTGCACCATAAGCAGTCCTCAACTTGTTGGCCATTATCCAATTCAGAATTTCCACTCCCAGTTTTTTGGGGCAGTGTTTGAAAAAATCAGGGTTAAAATTGAAGTTTGATTTACTGCCATTTAGGATGCTGCCATTTAGGTTACAAGCAGCTTCGAAACAAGTATCTTATTCTCCATTTCTTCTTTTTGCTCCTCGCAGCCTTGTTGTCTCTCAGGTGCTCACAATGAGCTCTTGCCAGTGTTGCGCCGGGAGTTCCAAACCAGCACTGTTTCCAGGGACATTGATACTGCCGCCAAGTTTATTGGTGCTGGCGCTGCCACCGTAGGTGTAGCTGGCTCTGGTGCTGGCATCGGGACCGTATTTGGCAGTCTTATCATTGGCTATGCCAGGTATGTTTGGATTTTTGAGCACCACGCTTTTAAGTCTGGAGTTACAGTCTTCGTTCACTCGCTGCTTACAGAGAAGCCAGGCAGTGCTGCTGCCAACGGCTTGCACTCAGTATTGTTGTCTTCCTGTTTCTTCAGACCTGATTTGGGCCTCTTATGTAAAACATGTTTGCAGTGCATTATAAACTGGCAAAGTTCTGTTGATATTTTTCAGGGATGCTGTGCCTTTAGTTAGAAGCTTCCTCCTTGTAGGTTCTGCTTCTGATTGCTTTCCTGTTGCTGTGGCATTATTGATAAATTGGCTTGTGATTATTCAGATCCTTTTGTAGGGACTAGTAATAGGGGGAGTAGTACTTCCTCTTCATTGCTTTCATTTTCCCTAAAAATGCAAAATAATAGTGCTGTTTCACAAAGAAAAAAGAGAGGAATCCAGTAATTAAGCCCACTGCAGGGAATTGATTTATAAGACTATTTATCAGTAATGCCATGTATGTTTTGAAAAGGAAACACTAATATGCAAAAGCCAGAAGGGGAAGCTATGAAATGAGAATGGTGGGGCCCTGTGCTGAATGGAAATTTAATTCAGTTATGTTAAGTAAATACAATTGAAGGATCTTGGGTGGGTATTGCCAGATTAATACAGCACTATATTACATGCTGTACTGAATCACTGTTAATTCCATTTCCAGCTGAATCCAGAAGAACAATGCCTTCACAGTGCTAAAGGGCACTAGTGTGGCAGCAACCCTAGTAAACATTTTGTGGGGTAGTAAATTTTGTAGACTTAATCAGTGCTTTTTTCCTAGAAAAATAGGTGTCAGTACTCACCATGAAGTTGTAATAGTAAATGCCACACTTTTAAATAATACTGAAAGAAGTGTTGGTACCGTGTACCCTTGAATACCCCCTGGAAAAAAGCACCAGACTTAAAATTATAAAGCTGGCTGGGCTGATACTATACTGCAGGCATAGGCAAACTCGGCCCTCCAGACGTTTTGAGACTACAACTCCCATCATCCCTGACCAGTGGTCCTGTTAGCTAGGGATGATAGGAGTTGTAGTCCCAAAACATCTGGAGGGCCGAGTTTGCCTATGCCTGCTATACTGCTAGACCTTTCAACAACCACACACCTGAACAGAACTTGGCTGGAAGGGATGGCTACTCCCTTGACATCCTGTATCTGGGGAGATGGTAGGACTACAGGAGAACCTTTAATTGTAGCATTGGAAGGGATCCTTAAGGGTCATCTAGTCCAACCCCTGCAATGCAGGAATCGCAACTAGATTATATAAGAATCCATTGGTTCAGGTCCTAGCCTCTGGAATAGGAGAAAACAAGCTTGTTCCTCCATGTGACAGCCCTTTAGATATTTGAGGATGGCTATCATATCTCCTCTCAGTCTCCTCTTTACCAGGCTAAATTTACCCAACTCCCTCAACTGTTCCTCACAAGGCTTGGTTTCCAGACCCTTGATCATCTTGGTCTCCCTCCTCTGCACACATTCCAGCTTGTCAATATCCTTCTTAAAACTGCAGTGCCCAGAAATGGACACAGTACTCTAGGTGTGTCCTGTCCAAGACAGAATAGAGCAGACCTGTTACTTCCCTTGATCAGGACACTATACTTTTGTTGATGCAAGCTAGAATGACATTAGCTTTTTGTGTGCGGCTTCATCACACTTTTCCATTGATGGTTATCCTGTCTGTCTGTCTCCTTCCCTTGCAGAAACCCTTCCCTGAAGCAGCAGCTCTTCTCCTATGCCATCCTGGGTTTTGCACTCTCTGAGGCCATGGGGCTGTTCTGCTTGATGGTGGCATTCCTCATTCTCTTTGCAATGTGAAGGAGCCGGATGTGCTGCCTGTCGTGTGCTCTCCTCTCCTTCCCCCCTGTGTTTAGTCCAGTGTGTACGACAACCTGATTGTTCTGTGGCAGATAGGGGAAGCCCGTCTGTTAACCAAATCTGTCCAGCTCAGAGGGGGCAAGTCAATAAATACTGTATTGGTATACATTTTCTTGATTTTTTTCCCGTTTTTGTTTTATGGGTAACTGGCCCCCAATCCTTTCTGCATCATTACGTCAGTGAATCGCAGAGTATTGTGGAATGCATTTAACTTGTATTCAGCACATCCAATTGATTCCTGAAAAACCCAAGTCCTACCAATAAACCTGGCATTGGTGAGGTTTTCTTTTTGCTATTTTCTAATTAGAATGGTTTACCTAACAGTATCTCCGTGAATTTAATCAGGCTTGCTCTTGGGAAGTGTGGATAGAAATGCAGCCCTGGAATACCTATTACTGCTTCTGATGATGCTGAGTGGAGGTGGTCATTATCTCAGCAAATTACAGAGAGTTTTGCATAAATACAGCTTATGTTGTTCAGCTTTTGATGAGCTTTTTGGCTCCTTGTGTTTTAGTAAATTAAAACATGACCTAGAATCAGCCTTTGAATCTTCTCTCTCCCTTTTAAAAGCACTGTTCTGCTAAGGTCACGGAGCACATCCTTTATATTGATTTGCTCCCTAGTAATTTAAGGCAACACTGTGCTTATGTTGCTTCTGTGCTTGTAACTTATCCTAGCCAATGCTGTTTTTAAAATACAAGGAAACTGAAGCCCAGAAAGGCGAAAGCAGGGATGGGGACCTCTGGCCTTCTACATGTTGTTGGACTCAAACGCCTTTCAGATCCAGCCAGCATGGCCTGGAAGCAAGGATGGTGGGGCCTGCAATCCAGCAACAATGGGAGGGCACAGGTTCCCCATTTACTAAAGAATAATAAGAATAATTTAATATTTATATGCCGCCCATCTGACGGAGTTGCCCCAGCCACTCTGGGCAGCTCCAACAAAATGTTAAACATCAACCATTAAAAGGACTGCCTTCGGATGTCTTCTAAAAGTCATATCATTATTTATCTCTTTGCCATCTGATGGAAGGGCATTCCACAGGGCAGGCGCCACTTCTGAGAAGGCCCTCTGCCTGGTTCTCTGTAACTTCACTTCTCATAGTGGGGGAACTGCCAGAAGGAGCTGGGCCTCAGTGTCTGGGCTGGATGATGGGGGTGGAGATGCTCCCTCAGGTATACAGGGCCAAGGCAGTTTAGGGCTTTAAAGGTCAACACCAACATTTGAATTGTGCTTAGAAACATACTGGGAGCCAATGTAGATCCTAAGGAAGGCACAGACAGGCTTCCACTCCACAGTATTACAATGTGGTGAACCTTTGTGCATTCTCATCTTCATAAATGGTGCTTATCTCCCATTGTGTGTCTGGGAGTCTGCAGTGTGGCCCTTCTATACAGTATCAGCTCAGTAGATCAGTTTTCAAGAAAGTGAAGGTTTGCATTGTGTTGGTGGCTCAGGCCAAGGTTCAGTGGCTCCTACAGAGGCCAGCCCAGATGCTACTTGGAAGCTCACAGGCAGTTTCTTTTTCAACATGAAGTTTCTATTCAGCTCTCAATCTGTTGGTCACCGCTCCTAAAACAAGTTGAATAAAATCTGCTACCTCAAACCCCCCCCCAAAAAAAACCACCAGCATAAAACCCAACTACATAAAACCAACACAATGTTCTATTCTACAAATTCAGATCTAATACAATTACAGAGCCAATTCCTTTTTTAAAGGCCATATAAGCTGGTGTCCACTACTTTTTGGTAGTGAGTTTCTTAATACACATTATGTAAAAAGTGCTTCCTTCCAGTGGCTGTGAATCTGCTGCCAATCGACTTTCATATGCCCAAGTTTTAAAGATTTATAAGCAAGAACTTCCCCTGTTCAAACCGTTCATAATATAGAAAACTCTTCTCTCTTTCTTCCTCCCTCCCTGCAAAAAGCTTCTCTTTCCTGTACTAAAAAGCCCTAAATGCCTTCTTTCCCCAACCCATTGATCATTTTTAGTTGCCCTTTTCTGCACATTTTCCAGTTCTATGATTAGCAAGGGCTGCATTCTAAAATCATCCATCTGACACGCATGACCCAAATATGCCTGCGCTGGGTGAGCAAATGGCTGGAAACTATTTTGGAAGTTCTAAGGAGCCTGACCTGTATCAGTCAGAGCTGCTGCTTGTTGAAAGACCCACAGCTGGTCCTGGCAATCTGCTGTTGGGGTTGCTAGGCAACCAGCTGAGCTTGGGTGTTCATTACAGTTGTGCCTGTGTTTTGGAAACCTGCTGATGATGCCAGGCTAGCTAGCCCAGTGATAAAAAGTAGCTAAGTGAGCGGTGTTAAATGATCAAGGGAATGCTAACAAGTCTGTATATTTGAATCATGCAAACATCACGTCTAAGAGAGACTGTCTTGGGCTGCAGAGGAGGCATAGTTCATGCCAACAAATCACTTAAAGGGTAATACTTCTACCATAAATCAATATCCTGAATTCAAAGGAGGAGAAACAGAACGGGAGGCTGTTGTGGATGCTAAGAAATTCATTCCAGAAGTTTGCCAGATGAAACAATCCCCCCCACCCCATTCTGGCAATTTTCCTGACAGACACACTTGGGCCAATTTTGGGGGGCACGAGGAAGGGGGTGGAAGCCCCGTTACAGTAGCAGGAGCCAGTAGCAGGACTCTTGAGTTGATTTCTGCCCCCTGCTCCTAACCTATCATTGCAAAGCAATTACTTCTGAGATGTAGCACAGCGGTGGGGAATCTGTGGCCCTCCAGATGTTGGACACCCCGCTTCTGCCACCCCTGACCATCGACCATGCTGGCTACAGCTGATGGGAGGTGGGATATAACAACGTCTGGGAGGCCACAGGTCCACAGCACTGCTAGACGTTGTAAACAATAGTCATGGGTGTGCCATACTCTGTTTCATAAGCCCGGCATTGAAGTAGCTATGTTATGTTTAACTCACTTGGATTCCCCCGCCCACTTCAGTAAAGAAAGTGCCGTGGTGTTGAAGACTGTGTAAATAAACTGAGAGTAATGTAAGCAGTTCTGCTGCCCAGACTCGTGGAACTGTGCTAAAGCTCTAGAGAAAAGTTTTAGTGGTGGGAGGGTATGTTTGTGATGCAGTCTCCCTAGATCTTTGTTTTCAGGGCCAGTACAAGTAAGGAGGTAGCCAATAATTTTGAAGACAGGAATGCACCTTACAAGCTGCTAGAACTGAGTTTTCCATAGACTTGTGTCTTTTTTAGGAGGGAGAGCTGGGAACAAAGAAATGTTCCCTCTGCTTGGCCAAAGCTGCAAGCTGGCCCACTTTCAAGCACAAGCCAGTAAAGAGAATTTGGGCACAGATCCATGGTGGTCTATCTCCAACCAGCACAGAAAAAGCAAATGCCTCAAGTTAAGCCCTTGCTTAGATCTTCAGCTGGATCATAATATTCCTGCTCTGCCAGATTAAGAACTTCATAAGGGGTGGCACTGAAGACTGGAATAGGTTTCTGCTATGAGATTTCTTGTTCTGATGCCATGGTATATATCTAAATGTTGCCATCAGCACTATACAGTTTAAAGGGAGTTTAAAGAAGTTACTGCCTACAACATGGGTTGCCAATTTTAAAGTTGCTTTTAGTTAAGAACTGGAGGTGGGACTTGTCACTCACTTTTAACACCTTTTTGGGTTAGATCCCCCCACTTTTGGCACGTGTCCCAAGGGCAGACAGGTGTTCCTCACCTGTCTTAAAATAGCTTTTCAAAAGGAATATGGACATTTTGGCCTGATTCAGATATACTGAATGTATATGTAAAGTTGGCTTCTTTAAACCATAGATTATATAAGAATCACAGTTTGCTGTTGGGATGGCACACTAAACCATAGCTAATCAAAATCAGAAGTGAAAGCTTCTGAACGGCTTTAAGGCAGATACCACAATAGACAGATAACTATGCAGTCTCCTTTGCCTTTGACAGTGGCCCATCACACAAAAACAAAATTCCATGCTGCATTGTTCAGCCATGTCCTATTAGCCCCATGATCTGCCTCCACTGATGACAAACTATAGTTCTTGCCTGTGTGTTTTTTCCCTGGCAGAGCTCCTGTGCCATTAATAGCTGTGTGACGGGCAATTTCAACAGGTGCATCTCTGACCTGCAAAAGGTTGCCGCACAGCCAGTTAAAGGAACAAGCATTTCCAGAAAAGAGGGATTTACTCTAATGAAAACAGTACTTTAGTTTCTGCTGGGGTTTTTTCAATCAATGCCCTTCTTCCCTTGCATCAGTGGCTACTGCAGCTGTAGAATGCAGTGTGTAGTACTGCGAGATGGGTACACATGACAAGACTCATTTTTGGATTCTGAGCCAGGTTGGGGAAGCTGTGACCCTCCACATGTTGTTAGACTCCAGTTCCTATCAGCCCTAGCCAGTATGACCAATGGCCAGGGATGATGGGAGCTACAGTCCACCAATATTTGGAGGTGCTGTTGCAAGAGATAGTTAGAGGTTGGAGATGTGAAAGGAAGTGAAGGAAGTAGCTTTTGCCACCTCTACCTGCCATCTGTGCTTTTGCGGGAAATTGTATTTTGTTCTTTGAGGACACTTGTTCTACAAAGATGACATCTAATCCTGGCAAGCAAAAGTGGATCTGTTCCATTTTTAAGCAAGAGGACCAGGCCCATTTTCAGGTCCATTGTGTTCCCCCCCCCCCCTCATTTTTTAATCAATTTCTCTCAAGCTGGCTAGACTCGGAGGTATTTGACAGCTCATTCGCCAGCATGCAGGGAGCGTTACCATGGTTTAAATTGCAGTAAGGCTCATAAATTTAATTAATGGAAATTGCATCAAATAGTATCTTGCTCACTTACATATCATTTGCTTAATCTCGAGTATATTACTTCCAATGACACATTATTGTTAACAAGGCTGTTAATGTGCTCTCTTTTAGATCAAGTGCCTGGTTAACTGGAACCTCTCATGCCTTTCTCCCTTTGTTGCCACTAAGTCTTTTCAGCACTTGAAGAGAGAGCTTTAGGCTCATAAGGTTTGAGGGTGGCAGTATCTGGCAAGGACAGAGATATGGATGCTAATTTGAGTAGGAAAGTTTCTTGCCAGCCTCTTGAGATGAGCCATAGCTTGGTTGGAGAAGAGCGAATAGAGAGCTTGGATGACTAAGGTGACAGTTACAACATGAGTGAAACAGAATTAATAAATCGGCTACAATCACAATGATTTCAACTTGTATTTTCATTCTCCCCTCTTAACACCCACAACTCCCTGACCAAGTGTGCCTCTGCTTGTCAACTATCTACAGCACCCACCCACTCCTGCCCTGTGTGAAAATTTCCCCCATGCCCTCCCTTCTCAGTATTCCATCGTTTCCTGGACACCTCTACCACAATTTCCCTTTAATCTCTCCTTTTTGGAAAGTTCATTTTACTGAATTTCAATATGAACATAACAGAAGAGTAAGAATAGCACCCCCTTCCCCGAAGAGGGCAAGTGAAAGTCATCAATTACATACATTACGCCATACCTGAGCCCTTCTCTCTTGACCATCTATAGTTGTAGTCCATGCCATTTTTTCTCTGGCCTCCCTTTCAACTTCCCTAACATCCATGTATCCAGCGACATGCCTTCCTGTGTCTTTTACACCCAGCTCCTACTCTCTCCAAGCTCAGTAATAGCGGCTTTCTATCAAAACTAGCCTTTCCTCAGAGAAGCTGCACTGCCCATCAGCTCAGCTAGTTTGCAGGGTACATTATTTGAATCCTTTTTGTCATATATTTGCTGTATTTAAATCCCACCTTTTAAAGGTAAAAGTCATCAGTGGGCTGGGACAGACACAAGGTTCTCTATTCCCAGCGACATTACAATCTTGAGGTTTCTCCAAGATTAAAGGATTTCTGCCTAAATCTTTTTTGTACTTCTGCAAACTTCAAAGTTACCCCGAGTCTGCTGATACTTTCTTCCTGTATGCAGTTGTTTGCCATTTTTTGATGTTTGCAAACATCAAAGTGTTTAATTGGAATCAGAATATAGAATGTGTTACTCTGGAGACTGTGATCCTAAGCGCTCTTATTAGAAACTAACCTCAACTGAAATGGATGAGAATTACTAGGAAGGTTTTTGGTGAGCAAACAGTAAGAAGAGACTTACATTTCTACTTTTTATAGAAATTCTTGTCTTGCCAAGATCCCCTTTTTTCTGCATTCTTATCTCTTTACCTCAGTTAACTCTTCCTTTGCCACTTCTCCATTCTGAAGTTCCTCTTCCTTGGCTCATATTTTAGAGATTTCCATCTCCTCTATCACAACCACCAGGAGAAATCGTTTGGTTGAGCAAGAATTTTGAATATGGTAGAGTGAAAGTCAGCAGTGATGCAGGCAGGCTGAATTGCACTAGCAGCCAGCCACAGCAGCACTGACAGTTCCTAGCCCCCCCCCCCACGCCCAAACTTATTCCACTGTTGAGCATTCTAGAACAAATCATTGGCCACAAGTTGGATCTTAAAATTGGAGAAGCATCAACTCAGTTGGAAGCTGGGGCAGAAGGGGTAACAGAGTAGAAGAGAGAAAGCACTAAATTTTATTTTTCACCTCCCATTTTTATTATATTACTTGCATTTATTAAGTCCCAGTGATTATCTGTGCTATGTACAAACCTCAAAAGAAAGTGTGTCCCAAAGGGGATGAAAATTTTCTGTTTCATACATGCACATACCTTCTTTTACTTCTCTATACTGGATGACAGGTACTTGAAAGCATACACTGAAACGGTGGAGAAGCTTTTTGTTTGGACCATCCAATAATTGCTTCAACTTGCAATCATCGAGTGAGACATTCATGGGTAAACCAGTCTAGCTTAAACAAAGGGATGACAGAGGAAACTGGATAGTAAAATAATACAAAAAATGTAGATGCTTGAGAAAATAACACTCTTAGATGTGTTATTTCTCTTTCACCCCAAACAGTGAATCTGTTAGGAGGTGTAACAATAAATTTATATCACCATTACTCTGAGTAGGTACTTGGGTTCTGTATCCCCATGACCAATGAAGCAGTAGCAGGACAAGTTTATTGCTTAAGCCAGAGGGCATAGCAAATTGCACAATAATTAACAAGAAGTAAGCCAGTATGAATCATGCCAGTCATTTCAATCTAGCACAAAACAAGCCATGACTCTCCAATAACTCACTTAACATGAAAAATTAAACATCAGTACAAAGCATTTAAAGCACTGCCAGCCAGCCAATCTCACAAATAAGAGCCCACTTCCGACTATGTAAACGTTAAGCAAAATTCCACCTGACTGTTAAAACAAATAAGGCCTTGTTTTGGTAATCTATGGTTAAATTACCATTACTTGTCATTTAAGCCAATCTTCTAATATCTCATGTATCTGAAATAAGGCACAATCTACCTGTCTGTACCTTCTCTTCCTGAACTACTTTGCTCTGTTGATTTAAAGGCTCACTCTTAGCCTGGTTCATATGTGGGAGAGGGACAATGTCTGCAAACTGGCATGAAAAAATGTGCAAAACAGTGAAAAGCAGGCATTCTTTTGTGCCTCTAAATGGCAACTCTCCCAATGAAAATCAAATCTCATTTAAGCTTGGTGCAGTGCTATAATACACTCTGAGGAATCTGGAACCTTTTACTTATTGTAAATTTTGATGTACAGGCACTTTTCAAGACAACCCCTTTGGTCATTATTCTCTGAAAACTAAAGAACAAAAATGAATTTTTGAACAATGCAGGCATTATGTCTTAAAAACCACCCCCCCCACCTCCTTTGCTTAACATCCAGCTTAAGAGTTCTGGTGAACTCCTAGGGGGAGCAGGATAATATTCTCAGAGGTTTGGGACAAATGAAAACACTGTGCTTGTTGTGGAAGAATCCACACAGGTTAGGCCATGGGTCCATGCTTGCCTCTATCAGCCGGCTGGCATCTTGCTAATATGGGTTACAGTGAGCTGGGTGGGGACTGAGGTTAGGGCACAGATGAGGCAGCAGAAACGTCTCCAAACTACTGGGATGGGAAGGAAGTTGGAGCTGACGCAGAGTCTTCTAGAATATTGCTGCCAAACAGGCAGAGGCAGATGGCAAATGCTACACTAATTTGGCTATGTCAGGAGTCGAGGAGAGCCCTGCTTGACCCCTGATGGAAATAAACAAAGGTCCGGCTATGATAGACAGAGACTTCACCTTTATGAGAGATTTCTACCCCATCTAGCTTTCTCCCTCTGTTGAATCAGCACCGTCAAAACCCCAAAGGGTTCTCAAGACAGCGGTACAATTTGGCTCATTCCAACCTCTGGAAGCAACAGTGTTATCGGGTATCCCCTCACCCACTCCTTTAGATGGCAGTGCCAACCTAGCAGTTCGAAAGCACGTCAAAGTGCAAGTAGATAAATAGGTACCACGCTGGCGGGAAGGTAAACGGCGTTTCCGTGCACTGCTCTGGTTCGCCAGAAGCAGCTTAGTCATGCTGCCCAGATGACCCGGAAGCTGTACGCCGGCTCCCTCGGCCAATAAAGCGAGATGAGCGCTGCAACCCCAGAGTCGGCCACGACTGGACCAAATGGTCAGGGGTCCCTTTACTTTACGTAAGTGCCTTCCCACTTCCTTCAATATGTGGTAGGCCAGAAGCCCTACTGCATCTGTTTGGGTGCCCTTCCACTCATGATTCTGCTGGGTGGGGACCCTGGACTTCTGCGTCAAAGCAATTTCCCTGAGGGCACCAAAGTGAGGTTTCCGGGGTGTGACCCGCACAATGGAGCAGCACAAGGCTCTTTTGAGCTGTGCTGTGTCGGAGACTCCAGATGCACATGGGTTGAGCGGGGGGGGGGGGCACATTCGTATACAGTGGCACCTCCTCCGGTTACAGACGCTTCAGATTACAGACTCTGCTAACCCAGAAATAGTACCTCGGGTTAAGAACTTTGCTTCAGGATGAGAACAGAAATCGTGCTCCGGCGGCGGTGGGAGGCCCCATTAGTTAAAATGGTGCTTCAGGTTAAGAACAGTTTCAGGTTAAGAACGGACCTCCGGAACGAATTAAGTACTTAACCCGAGGTACCACTGTACTGGAAACCCAGGACCGGCCCACCCATGAGGTAAGGGGAGGTGACAGCCTGAGGCGGCAGGATCCACAGGGGCAGCAGAAGATCCTGAGGCAGATCTTGATCTTCTCCCTGCCCTTGTTCCTGATGTAGACCTTCACACAGCCCTTCTTCCCCGGTGGGGCGGGAGGGGGCGCCATTTTGCGGTTCGCCTCAGGTGCCAAAATGTCATGGGTCGGCCCTGTGGAAACCTGCCCGAATCACACCAAGACCTAACTCGGCTATACACGACGTCAACGACGTACTACTGGGCAAGGAGGTCGCCCACTGCCTGCTACCCGTGGGGGTCTGTGCCGCTTCTTCCCGCCCCTCTCCGTCGGGAACCCGTCGCCCTCGGGCGGCGGCTCCTCTCCCTTCTCCCCCCTCAGGACACCCGGACACCGTCCGCTCCGTCGTCTCTTCGAAGTCTCGGCCCCGCCCCGCTCCTTGCACTAACCCCGCCCCTCCCTCCCCCATTGGCTCCCCGGCTCCTCGCCCCCGCCTCTCCGCCAAGTCTCGCGAGGATCTCTTGCGCGCAGAAAACGAGGAGGCGGGGGGGCCCCACACTTCACCACAGCAAGACTTGGGGGCCGCAGCTCGGGGCTGTGTGGGGAAGAGCCCCGTTAGTGGCGGCGCCAGGCGGAGGGACACGGGACCTTAAGGCGGAGGGAGGGGACAAAAACGCCCGGTCCTCTCAATTCCACCCCCTCCCTCCCTTCCTTCTCCGGTCCCGAGGTGAGTTTGGCCGTTGCCTCCGCTCCTCTCACCCCGCACCTCCCCCTTCTCCTCCCCTCAAGAAAAACCCAACTCTTTCCAAGGCTTGAGAGAGGGTGGGTTCCGCCTTGTCGTGATTGGCAGCTCGGCTGCGCCAATCGGCGCCGCTCTCGGAGGCGAGTGGCGGGCGGCGCGGCCAGTGCGGGCGCGGGGTTGGACCGAGACCCCTCCCCGTCTCCCGGGGGTGGGAGGGACTTAAGGGGCTGCGAGGAAGCTCTAAGAAGGGGGCCCGGGCGGTGGCCGGGAGGGGGAGGGGGCGCCCCGAAGCCCCCGTGACGGGCGGGCTGGGGCGCGTGTGGAGAACCTGGGCCGAGGGTCCTGAGTAGAGTTTTTGGTGCCTGCACGAGAGGAGTGAGGGTTTTTTTAAAAAATGCCAAGGGAGGAGGAGGAGGCTGCTGGGTGGGGAATTCCAGGGGATAAGGGCAATAGGAAGGGAGAACTAGGCGGTTGTGGCCTTTGCAGAAGTGGGTGAGAACACATAAGCGAAGCGATGCCCCAGCAAGGAAAAAATCTGAGTAACTGGTGGAAGCTGTTACATAAGTACTATATGCTCCCAGCCACTTGGTAAAGGTGGTGTGGCTTCCTCAAGATTGCTTTCCGATTTGGCAAGTTGTCCCGTGTTGATGAGCTCTGCTGCTCATCCTTGCACCCTCTTTTCTGCTCCTCACCACTGCAGTGGCAAGCCTCCCATTTGTACTGCCCAGGGGTACAAGGGTGAGCAAGCAGGGGCTACTTTTGCAGTTGCCTACCAGGACCACCTCTTGTCAGCCAAAAGCAGTCAGTGCCCCGCTCTGCTCTCTCTTTCTGGGTGGTGTGGTAGGTAGGATGCAGCCCGTTGCACCACCCAAGAGTGAGCAGGTGAGTGACTAGCAACAACAGCTCCTTGCCACTCTCAGTCACGCCTCCGATGAAGCAGCTGCGTCCACTGGCTTGTCCACTCCCTCCGGTGGGTGGTGATTGATCCAATTCTCAGTGCCGCCCAGAGTTAGAGGGCAGGCGAGTGAGTACACAGATAAGGGGAATGCCATGTGCTTACCTGCTTTGCATAGCACAGAAGAAGGTGCCCTCCAAGCAGCAGTGCTGGCTACTGAGATGGTAACAAGTTGGGGTCTTTGTTAGTTGGTTCTCCAAGCTACCCCCCTTGAGAGAGAGAAAGGGGGTGGGTCTGCTGCTGTTCTTGGGCTCTACCTCTGCTGCTTCTCGAGTGGGTGGCAGAGCAGTTAAAAGTGGCTGCAGGGAGGCTGTCTCTGAGCAGTATGGTTGTTGCACCCACCACATCAAACAGTTGGGGATGGTGTATGTGTGCAGAGACATTATGCTTGCTTGCTTCAGTTGGCAATCAGATATTAAAGGTGCGCCTTGCTGCCATCTCTGTCTCTGGACAGCATGGAAGTTGGGTGCCCAGTCCTCCAGGCCGTGCACCCAAAGGATAATAGTGAATGGAAATAAAAAAATTGTCCAGTAGCACCTTAGAGACCAACTAAGTTTTTTCTTGGTATAAGCTTTCGTGTGCATGCACACTTCTTCAGATACACTGAAATGGAGATGACATTTGTTTCTTGCCACCATGGTTTGCACACACATGGAACAGCTACCTCCAGTTGCTTGCCTACAATAGCTGTGAGGTGGTGCTAGCTTCAGTTTCTGCTGTTGCTCACAGAGAGGATTCAGCTGAGTGAGTGGAGGGTGACTGCTCATTTAAAATGCCACAACCATGCCTACTTGGAGCACAGATAATGGTGTGGTGTTAATGCCCACAGTGGCAGCTAGTTAAGCTTGGGAGGTCTCTCAAGTTGCTGTGGACTCAGCACTGCCCAATGGTACTGGTCTCTGATGTCAGGCAGTTGATTTCTTAATATAGTGAGGGCTGATTTGATGAATTTCATGTAGAGGCTAGTGGGTTTATCAGAATGACTTTGATATAGAATCTCTCAGTACAGGAATATAGTGCATTCCTGTACTGGAATAAGAATGAATTGCCCCACTTTCAAATTGAGTGAACAACATGGTGTCAATGGAAGGAACATGAATACAGTCCCTGTGTGTTGGATGTAAATGTTAATGCAGCAGTCTTCAACTACATTTAATGAGTGGAGGGAATAGATTATTTTGCCTGGCTGGTTTTGCTGATAACTGTTCACAGCTAACATTTTATTTGCTTGGTTTCTTTCATATTCACAGTGCTTTGAAATGGGATCTTGATTGGCTTGTTTATCTCAATATTTTGAGGGTCAGGCAGCACTTAATTGCCAACTTAATACAGCCTATCTGTTCTCCCTATTTTCTCTCAAATAAATAAATAAAATAAAATAAAGTTTCAGTATTGAGTGGAAAAAGTTCTCTTCTGTTTTACTGATAAACTGTTTAATGTGCATAATTGACTAGGCAACATTTTGTGATTCCTCTAATGTTATGAGAGTTATTTATATAAAAATGATATGGGCTCTTGCAGTACACACACTGGCTCAACCAACTTGATTGGAAGTGCTCTAATTTTAGTGACAGTACTGGTAGTTGCATAGTTACACTCTGTGTTCTAATAACTTAGCATTTATACAGTTCATTTTGATTATTCCAAACACTTCATGCATGATCTCTTGTAATAATGGCTCTATAATGTCTTAACTATCCCAAGTACAGTGGTACCCCGCAAGACGAACGCCTCGCAAGACGGAAAACCCGCTAGACGAAAGGGTTTTCCGTTTTGGAGGCGCTTCGCAAAACGAATTTCCCTATGGGCTTGCTTCGCAAGACGAAAGCCCATGGGGAAATCTCCGGGACAGCAGGGAAGCGTAGCGAGTCTTCCCCACTGTCCTCAGACCTCCTCCCGCCGCCCGGCTTCGGAACGAAGCTCCGATACCGGGCGGGGGGGACGCCTCCTCCCGCCGCCCGGCATCGGAACGAAGCTCCGATGGCGGGGGGGGGAAACGCCTTCTCCCGCCGCCCGGCATCGGAACGAAGCTCTGATGCCGGGCGGGGGGGGGAACGCCTTCTCCCGCCGCCCGGCATCGGAACGAAGCTCCGATGCCGGGCGGGGGGGGGGAACGCCTTCTCCCGCCGCCCGGCATCGGAACGAAGCTCCGATGCCGGGCGGGGGGGGGAACGCCTTCTCCCGCCGCCCGGCATCGGAGCTTCGTTCCGATGCCGGGCGGGGGGGGACACCTTCTCCCGCCGCCCGGCATCGGAACGAAGCTCCGATGCCGGGCGGGGGGGGGGGAACACCTTCTCCCGCCGCCCGGCATCGGAACGAAGCTCCGATGCCGGGCGGGGGGGGCGCCTTCTCCCGCCGCCCGGCATCGGAACGAAGCTCCGATGCCGGGCGGGGGGGGAATGCCTTCTCCCGCCGCCCGGCATCAGAATGAAGCTCCGAAGCCGGGCGGCGGGGCAGGGACCGCCTTCTCCCGCCGCCCGGCTTCGGATGGCTTTCCTGAAGACTTGGGGTGGGAGGAGGGTTTTCCTTCCCACCGCCAACATTCAGAATGCTGTTCTGAATGTTGGCTGTGGGGAAGGAAAAACCCTCCTCCCACGCAAGCCCCGGGAACAGAGGGAAAGCGCTGTGCGCCTTCCCCTCTGTTCCCGTACCTGTCCTGAAGGCTTGCGGTGATGAAAAAAACCCTTCTCCGCACCGCCAGCCTGGCAAGCGGTTTCCCTAGGAACGCATTAATTGATTTTCAATGCATTCCTATGGGAAACCGTGCATCGCAAGACGAAAAACTCGCAAGAAGAAAAAACTTGCGGAACGAATTAATTTCGTCTTCCGAGGCACCACTGTAGCAGATGGGGATGATGAACAGTGGCTCACGACTGAGATGAGCTTTAAGCTATGGACTTGCAGGTTCCCTCTTAGTCATTGACCTCATTCACATGTAAAGTTAAGCCAAGCCATGATTTACTGGTAGTTTGCATGAGAAGACATGTTGCACCTGGAGAGGAGATTGTCACCACTTTGCTTCTCCTCTGTTGCATTGCTTCTTTGCCAAACTTAGAATTGTGTGCAAACAAGTGCTACATCACCTTCAAGGGCTAAAGTCAAAATATTTCCTCTATGCTATTGGTTATGTTACACTCTGCATTTACTAATTACTTATCCATATGGAAAAGTAAGTTGATAACCAGTGAAGGATATGAGCTATGAAATTGTGTGCACTGCTAAATAAGAGTAGAGTTCTGAAACCTATTTCTCCCCCCACCCTCTTTAAAACAAAGTAGTGAAGCTATTTCATGCATGTTCAGTTAGCAAAAAAAACCTAGACTAGCCCTTACCAAGTAGCTATATTTTGGGGCACCCAACTGCTACTGCCTGCATTTTGAGCTTCATGTCCATATACAATGTAAACCAGAAGTGCCCTTCAGATAATGTTGGACTATAGTTCCCATCATTATCAGCCAGCACGGACAGTGGTCTGGAGTGATGGGAGCTGTAGTCCATTATCAACAACATCTGGAGGGCACCATGTTGGCCACCAGTGTTATAAATGGATCTACTGCCCAGGTTCTTAGACTTTGCCAAATCAAAAAGACATTGCCTCTGAGGTTCAAAGAAAGCGGTTCTGTCAGATCTAGGGCAGATCCATGAAAAATGGAGCAGTGCCATCCACGCTAAAGCAACAAGCCAGCTTTTAGAAATATTGTTTCCCACCCCTCTGGCTAATATTTTCATGGTTTCTCTGATCTACTCAAAATAAGAGGTTCAGTAGTGACTAAATTATCTGTCCCTTTGTCCCTATCCAAACTGAGCAGTCATGGGGCAGCAAAGAGCATATCTGTTTCCCAGGAATTGCTTGTTCAGTTTTACTTGTGATTTGTGAGGGACTGAAAGGACTTGTCTCTAAAGTTGTTGCTTATTATATTTTATTGGAGTTAGAAAAATCCCAGCTGCTTTGTCGGTTATGTGCCTAAGTGTTTGAAGAAATTTTGATTCCTTGATTCTGTCAGTCTACTCAGGATTGGTAAAAGGTTCT